TTGAGAATAAAGAAGGTGGCGGAAGCCGGTAGAAGGAGAAGGGTAACTGATGGATCGGTAATCGATGAAGGGGGTCAGGTGGATCAGTAATCGATAAGGGTTCGACAATGGTAGGATATGAAAGTGATGGAGTGATGTATTGTACAAATAAGGGTGTAGAGATGGTGAGAAAAGGAAAATGATAGGGGCTACGTACTTCATGACAGTATTGGTGTACTGCGCATCAAGGTGCACGGGTCAACTCCAACAAGTCCCAGTCCAGCGGGAAAGATCAACTCAATTAGTACCTGTAGAAATATATAAAGCTAAAGTCTGTATGAGTACAGGTACGAATAAAAGAAAATATAAATAAGTAAACATACCTCAGTTGAGCGGGAAAGATCAACTGAGGGAATAGCTAAGGGAACAAAAAATTTATATATCCCAATCACTAGATCGGGTTTGGTAAGCCGGAACATAGATAGATAAAAGGATGAGTAGTCAAACGAAAGTATAGATAGGAAGAGAAATACCGTAATAGGTAATATCAAAGCTAGATGTACGGAGTATTCTCCAACACTGTAAATTAACTGCACTATTTCGATACACCTGGTACCTGGACACTGTTTCCCTTGGCTAAGTATTGACTGGGTGCTGGACACCCTAATCAATTCATGCCAAAATTATTGAGATAGGTCTCCAGTTGTTGTTATAGCACTGTTGTTCAATAAAATTCTGATTTCCGAAACCTTGTCCAGGCTCTGCTGGGAGTGCTTTGAGTGCTGAACAGCACTCTCCAGCTAGTATCCTTGCTCTCGCAAACATCCAGGTTTTGCAGATGAATTGATATGAGTGGTATGGGTGCCACATATCTTCCAGCTCTGAAGGGTAGAATGAAAGCTCAATGTTGAGAGTATGTGTCATTGTCAAAAACTGCATTCAAGAACCTGGATTGTGAGTTTGAATGAATCAAATGCAAACTCATGTTGTCAGCATGGATATATGTCGAGTTTGAGAGTCTAATGCACATTGAGTCCACTAGTGTCTGCACACACCTTACTTGGTCACATTTCCCTTTTTTTTCTTTTTGAATCATATTTAGCCACCTTTGTGCCATAGCATATAGTAGACTATTTTGTATATCCAATCTGCACCAGCAAGTGGCAGAGACCACTACCTTGAAAGTTGCAAGGGCCTAATATGCTGCTTGCAAATTCACCTGTGAAAGCCACTCAGAACTCCATTCTTTGCTCTTCTTGCAGGAAGAGGAGGACAATGTATTGTTATTGACTACTATTGACTACTATAGTCTACTATGGAGAATATTATCCACTACTTTGTATGTACCTATATAAACCTGCATGTCCTCGCAATAAGATCTAACAAGTGTCGTTCCCTGATGGAATGCACGACACACATTACCACTATATTAAGTCATTCGTATTGTTAACATATTGTTAACATGTTTAATACAGAGATATTGAATACACAAGCATTCCATGAACCATTTGACGAGACCCTTGAAGAACAAAGACACGGGTCATGGAAATGGAAGAGAAATTAAAGACAGCATCGAAAAGACGTACAGACTTAGTTGCAAAGGGTATCTAAATGTGAAGAGAATAATAGCACATGAAGCGCAACACAGGCAGTGGGTAGGAACATTGAGACAGGCCACTCGGAGACAGAAGGAACACAGAAGATTGTAGAGGACAGCCAACACCGTCATGTATGAAAGAGGGTACAGCGGCGAGGCAGCAGTTTGTACCAAACTTGAATGGAAGTGGTAGAACAGGTCCGGCGGGAAAATGACTATAGCTTTAGAGCTTCGCGTCGACGCCGTGACACAGTGGATGGAGGAGGAGGGTAGAACAAATGAAAGACATGAGAAATATTGGTTTAAAGCTTCGTAAATATGCACGTGCATCAGATGTATTGGAGCAAAGGCATAGTCCGGAATAAGAAGTCCGAAGATATCTAGTAAGGGCAAAGGTATGCATGTGCGGAAGATAGCAGGTAACAAAGAGCAAAGGAAGTTACCAACGGCTGAGGTGACGAGACACGCGGGAGGCAGGAACCAGTGGCAGCAATAACACACAGGAAAGTGTATGAGTAGAGCGAAGTACGTCGAAAGGTGTTCAAGATTTTCATGGTGAGGGGGAGCCAGGCCAAACAATGACAAATGCAGCCTGGAACCACTTTCATACCCACCCAGCCACATTCAATATGAGCGTTCCTTTGAGCTATTCGTAGCCCTCAATACGAGGCAGGGGAAGTGGCGCATTGGGGTTGAGTGGTGCAGGAGTAAGGTTCTAGGGGAGATCGAGACGGTAGTAACATGCGGTTGCAATGGTACTAAAAAGGAATAGGATCTTATATACCGTATTGTAATCTTCACGCGCGCTAATCTGACTGACCTGCAATAGGAGAAAGATGAAAGCACTGCCAGCCGTTCAGCTCACTGGCCCCTACAGCCTAAACTCTAATATAGTCATTAGATTAATCAAATCACAGGAGCCATAAGAAACATACCAGTTGACAAATTGCTTAAACGCCTCGTAGCATCGAAGGATGTGGACCCTGTTGTCTAGCGGTTTCATACCTTCACTCCATCGCCGAGCCGGGCGAGGCACCGTCGGAAGGTGAGCGAACACGACGGTGGGCGTAGGGTACTCGCCGAGAGAAACAGCTTCGGCAAGTTCTGTGGTGACGGGAATCTTGTAGAAAGTGGGTGACGACCCTATTAAGGTAATGCCCGGAATAACCTTGCTTGCGATGGGAGCTTGACCAAGTAGCCGCTCCCGTCTGAAATTGTTCATCTGAAAGGCAGCAATCGCTTCCGCGATGAGCTGCGGTTCTGGATCCTTGAGCTCCTTGTGTCGTTTATCCTCCTCGATAAGGAGTAGAATGTCATCGGAATCTACGATGCAAACATCAGTTTCCGCGTGACATTGTTCCCCACAGATCCAGAGCGGAATGTCTGCTCGTGTCCGAGCCATCCTACTTCGTGGCAGGTATCCCAACAGCTTCAGCAGGTGAACAGCAAAATCGTCCACGGCAGACTCTTCAGTTGGGGCAGGATTCATCGCTAAATCCATGTAGCGTAAGAGTTTATAATTGTCGTCGAGAATCATATCGTCTGCGTCAAGTGTTGTGAGGACTTCCTGAGCGACTGCAGGTTGTGGCAAAGGGTCGACACCGAAGAAGGTGACTGCGTCTTGCCATTGAACAGCAATATTATAGGCTCTAAGCTCATTCTGAGTCCAATCGCTGCCAGACTTGGCGGAGCGTAAGAGATTAGCCATGATCAATAGTTGTTTACAATTTACTGCGAGCGAAGCATTGCTTTGAGGTATGCCAAACTTCAAGTTTCCGTGAGCTGACTAGGCGGGCGCCTATCAACACTACGCCCCTTCAACTGAGCTTTATATATTTCTACATAGAGCACTGGTGTATGTTCTGCTCATGTGATTGGGTTGAACAAAATTGCTGTGAAATTAAGAGCAGAGGGCAATAGCTGAGTTTGCCCCCAATATATAAGTTCAACAATGTTCACCCCTCCAGAGTGCAATAAAGTCCAGACCTCATTACTGATCTCAATGTTCCACTGCCTAGTGTTAGCGGCCTCCTGCACAACCAGAAGCACTGTACAGATTCATTGGCAGTCTCATGAGGTACCACGAAGACCCGGAGAATGCTGGTACGAGGGATTTGACCTTTTTCCTCCAGTTGACTAGCTATGATATATCGTTTGTTTCATAATTCATCGCCTCCGTTGTCTAATGGTTATGACGTCAGACTTCTAGCTTGCGTAATGTAAATTACCTACGGAATCTGGAGGTTGCGGGTTCGAATCCCGCCGGAGGTTGAATGTTGTTCCTTTTTCTTCTTACCAAAAAAGCAAACAAAGCTTTCGCTGCCTTGACAATAAAGCCGCTTCTCGCCGGGTTCAAGTTAATGGTAATAAGTGCTTCCAAATTTTTCGAGCGCAATGCGTTACTCTTTCGAGTGCAAATGTCGCAAAACGCCAGCTATAGATTGTATCTAAAGTCAATAAGAGTGAAAGTACAGTATGTCGTGTAGGAGATGAGATGATCGTGCCAATGGCGGTACGAAAATGGAAGAAACACCGTGATCATGAATGCTTAGTGAGAGAATAATATATCGATGCCATGATTCCGACCTGTATGTAGGTATGCCCTAACTCAATCTAAAAGGAGTAATGAACAAAATCCTCGTGAATGAGTAACTATCATTGTCGAGATGTTAGTTGTCTTATTGAAAACGCGCCGTCAACGTCGAGACATTAGCCTGTATGTCGTATACCCTCCAATGACAGCAAAAGCAGCGAGGCATGCGATAATCGACACAAACCATGCATAACCGGGAGCATCCTCGCCAGGTACGTGCACATTCATACCCCATAAACCTAAAATCGACAAATAAGAGACAAGATCAATTTGAACGCCGCTCTACACTCGAGACATGCTGACAGGGGATCGGGGAGAGAGGGAAGATGCTTACCGGTGACCAGGTTCATAGGGATGAGAACCGTACCCAGCGCGGTGAGCTTGCTCAAGACATCGTTGATTTGGTTGTTGGCTTCAGTCATTTCAATGGAAATTTGAGCGAGGTAATTTGAGTGTGACCTCGAGAGAATTTTTTCATAGTGGTTCAATGACTGAGTCATGGTGATCAAGTGGTCCTTGAGACGAGCGAAAAGGTCAGTCTCGCAGACGAAACCAAAAATGCGTGAGCTTACTTGAATATCTGATAGATAAAGACCCTGGAATACGGAGACCATTCAGCTTAGTTAATGCATACAGGTGAAACATTCGCACAATATCACTCGTCGGAGCAACCTGCCAGTTCTCATTACACCTCTTTGCCAAACCCTTCACCACGTCCGCTTTATTGCCCATTAAACGTAACAACCCCATAACTTTCTTTCTGCAAGTTCCAATCCGTCTCAACATATCGCTTTGCTCAGTGCTGTCCTTTAAGATTAACACTAGCTCGTCGATAGAGTCGACCTCGTATTCGATGCTCTGGATAAGAGGTCCAAAAGCATCGGTGATGTCATCGATAAGAGCATAAGAAATCCAGTCAGAGGTGACAGATATATAATCTTTGAGTTGTTTGATCCGTCTTCGAACTGAAGACGGATGAGGTGTTGGGCGGAAGTGGAACTGTGAGCGGAGCGTCAATCGAGTAAGCAGACGATATTACCGAACGCGATTGCTTACGGACAAAGTTCCCTCTCTGAAAACAATGATGTACATATTCAAAGGTTCCAAGTATGTGGGACTGTATGAGTCCTGATCGAAGCTTCGAAAACACACAAGATAGTAATTTCTAAAAAGCTCTATCTTCTCGCGTGTTTCCTCCATTTGAATGTCTTCAGTAGTGAGCGGGTGGATGCCAAACGCCTGACAAAGCGTGAGGGACATTGATCATTCATCACAGACCAGGCTCACCTTGCTCAACATCGTCATCTCCTCGTCGGTTGGGCTGAGTACATCCAACCACCATGTGCAAGATTCTGGATCTGCACCCTCGTAGCTTGAAAAACCTAAACCACCACCGAAGCCCGGTCGACTTCTGTAAGTAGGTTTCACGTTTCCAGGAAAATATCCTTTTGGCCCTGCACTCGTTGGCCTCTTGTCCTTGTCTTTCGCGTTAGGATCACTCCGATCTCGATTGATACCTGCAAAAAGATCCTCGAACGTCTGTCCTTCTGCAGGAATCTCAGAGAGACTTCGAGCGTGTATAGTGGAGGGGAGTGCATTGGAATAAAATGAAAAACGGTAGGGTCGATCATGTCCTGCGTCGAGACCAGGTACTGAAGGATATTGTGTGGCGGGAATAGTAGCTGGACGAAATAAAGAAGGGGAACCATTGTCGAATGAAGGCAGGTCAGTTGCGATGGGAACGCCGATTGCACTGGCGTTACCGCCAGGCCCAAGAGAAAATGGAATTCGATTTGGACCCGAGGAACCGCCATGTGTATTTTCAAACAGGGCAAGCTTCCCACCAATCCCTTTTCGATGAGAGCGCGGATGCGGATTACTTTGACTAAGCTTACGCTGTCGAATTGGGGTAGAGGACGAAGCAGCAGCCGAGTCAGAAAGCCCGGAGTCGATGGTTTCACCGCTTGTGACCGGAACATTCGTAGAAGCAGGCCCGGCCACATCTGCAAAGGATGGTAATGGAGACGCTTGCCTGGGGAAGAACACATCGTCCGTATTGAGTCGGTTTCTGGGAGGAGGGAGGTTGAATTTCGTCGTGTTGTTCAAGGGAGATGTGATTCCCAATTTGAGCCTTTCAGATGCAGCAAAAACTTCGATAGGAGCAAAGTTGAAAGCAGACTGGGACATGTTTGCTTGATAGGTCGGAAGAACTCCGTACGCAGATGTAGATGGATCGTCTCGGTCGGCAGATGGATGCACAGCGCCATTCAATGAAACGAGTAAACTTGGATCATGGGATTGAGGCAAAAGATCTCGGAGGTCAACGGGTGAAGGTTGCCGTTTGGTAATGATAGATTCCAAGTCATCTATCTCCTCCATGGAAGGCCCTTGAGCGATATCTATGTCACGCTGCTCCCGAGGGGAAAGACCAGCCCGAGCGACGACGTCTTGACTCTCTGCTTGTATTTCCTGGTGTGCAATTGTTGGGGAGGTAGTGATAGTATCTCTGCGAGCCTTGGAAAGCTGCATTGCCATATCCATATCCAAGGTTTGCTGGCGTTCCCTGACCTGAGGATCATTGGGGTCGAATGACCTTGCTAACGTCGGTGAAAGTCTAGGACGATTTTCGGAATCATCGACACTGATGCTGAAGCTGCCTTTTCGACGGACTGGTGAACCTCCTCGGGTCGAAACCGGCGAACTGGACAGTACTCCACCGGTCGACATAGTGGTTTTGGCCAAGAGTGGAAAGATAAGATAAGATTTAGAGTATCAATATACAATGAGCGCCCAAATTTGGATGCACCTCTCGCTCTAAGCCTCTAATCACTCGAGCAAGCAAATATGGTCGTAGTTTGTAGCACTGTAATTACAATGACAATTTTATCTTACGGTTTAGAACCATTTTCTCGAGTTACGGAACTTCCGGATCGGCTTGCTTGCGAAATTGTCCGCTAGTCTCGTAAAACAGCCTTGTTGAACGGTTTGTTCATCAGCGACCACGTTGATCTGCATACAGACAAGTACGTTTTCAGGCCTCCTATAGGCCTCCGGCCACTACAAAGCAATGAATGGTGTACGCAGATTCCTTGGCGGTGGATTCAACGACACACAAAGCCCGGGGCCTCCAGCGTCACTTGAATTGGGCAGTCCACCATCGAGCGCCGCCCCTTTAGCTTCAGCATCTACTGCTTCAGCCTACTCAAATTATTCGGATTCTCCGAGCCCATCAATACAGCCAAAGAGCCCTACAACGACCACAGCCGCGTTGTTCTTGAAGAAAAAGGACAAATCGCGACCTTCACTTGGTGGTTCTCAGCCTTCATTAGATGAAATTCGAGCTAGTATTAGCACTAGGGCGAGATCTAACACCGCTAGCTCTTCGTCTTCATTAGTCAATGGACTGGCAAGAAAGTCTCTTTCAAGCACAAGGCCAATACAGCGCAATACGCGGGATGATTTATTACTTAGTTTGCTTGCAAGCGAAGCAGTCGTAGAGAGCAGGGATTTTGCAATTCTCAGTTCAGAGGAGATAGATGAATTGAAGAAGGTCAGTTTCTATCGTATAATATATGCGGATTCATCTGGATCTTCATCCGTCCTGGATGCTTACAGGAGGAAACTCGTCTTTCATCACGACTAAGCTCACTGGAGAAAAAGCTGGAGACCGAGCGCAAAATCCGGGATGCTTCAACGACACTATCTACGCTCTCCGTTCCAAGAAACTCTGCTTCAAAGTCCACGACGAGCAACGAACAATTAGAGACAGCCACCAAACGCTTTGATGAAACACAGAAAGAAGTCTGGCGAGTCTCCCAAGCCAAATCCGATGTGAGTCGTCGGTTGGTTGAACATAGAGCGGGGGTTTTGAGCGAAAGTGTACGGAGGATTGAAGAAGACAAACGTGGCGATACGTCTAATGGATATGGCACACCTGCCAATCCCTTGTCTCCTGCTTCTTCCGCTTTCTCCTTCTTCGCTGGACACCCATCTTCTGCTGTGCCGAACTCGTCGTCGTTGCTTCCACAAGCTGCCCAACAACAAATCACCCAATTAGAGGAACAGTTGCGTGCAGCGACAGCTTCATTGTCGGAAGCGTCCAAGAAACAGGCTGAAACTGCCAGGGAGTTGAATTTGTTAAAGTTGGAGAAAGATCAGGTCGAGACTATACTTGGAATGGAGGTACAGGCTGCGCAGGACAAAACAATATCCTTGGAGAACGAAGTCCTTCCTAAACTCGAGACGGAGTTAGAGAATTTCAAACGTGAAAAAGATTATTGGGAGGAGGAACGTGATGCATATCAGGAGGAGAAGACGCGGTGGGAGAATGAGAGAACGATGCTTGAACAAACGCAGCAAGCAAAAGGCGGCGCAGATGCAATGTTGGCGGAGGTTAGGCAAAATTTGCTGGGTATGCAGGAGCAGCTTGACGCGAAGGAGGGTGAACTCCGACAACTCCAAGCACAACTTTCTCAATCACAGTCACAACTCTCACAAACCCAATTGCAGTTATCTCAACTCGAGCAATCGCATACCGAGGTTACAGAGGACTTGGACTCTGGTCGAGCGTTCGTTCAAACCTTAGTCCAGACTCATGCAATAGTTTTGTTTTCCCGCGATCCCTCACTGAAAGGACTATTGTCGGCTATCGGCACTCATCTTGAAGGTTTAACAAATA